TACAGCTGGTATGAAGCTGGCACGCCGGTTTAAGGCTAGGGAGCACTATGACGACAATTGGGAAACCCAGCTAAGTGCCTTATACAAGTTCATGCACTCTGCGATCTCCGGTATCTACACAAGAGTCACCGGCCCTGGTGCTGCCGAACTCTCTCTGCGTTTGTTTTCTGCCTGCGGTCAATCCGCCGACATGACGAGCTTTGAAGAGGTTGCGTACGAGTTCTTCGCACAGGCTTTTACAGTGTACGAAGAGGCCATTTCGGACTCGAAAGCTCAATTCCAAGCTGTGTGCATTATTGCCAATGCACTACACCAGACAAGGAATTTCGGGAAAGAGAACTACGATACCCTTATCACAAAGTGCGCCCTTCATGGAAGTAAGCTGCTGCGCAAACCGGATCAATGCAGAGCGGTATATCTAGCGAGCCACTTATGGTGGGCGACGCCAATGACAGCTATCGACGAGTCGGATGAAGGTGTAAGTTTTGAAGCCGTCGTCGAGTCAGAGTCAAACTAATTATTTTCTAGCTTTACCGAGATGGAAAGCGAGTATTAGAATGCTTGCAGCGTGCTCTACGTGTTGCAGATTCTTGCATGGAACAAGCGACATCGATCGAGTTGTTCGTTGAGATTTTGGATCGCTATGTGTACTATTTCGACCAACAGAACGAATCGGTAAGATGCTCACATATTATAGCTTAAGTATATCTACCTGGTAGCTAACCACATATTTGACAGGTCACTACCAAATACATTAATGGGCTCATTGAGCTAATTCACTCAAACTTGAACACGAACCAGCAGGATTCGGCAAGTGTTGAAAACAGCAGGCGGCATTTCAAGCACACCTTGGACAATATCGCATCGAGGCAGTATGAAGGAGTGGTTCTGCACCCACAGAAATAATGATACCTAAGATATAGGAATTCGGTCGGGAGAAGAGTCCAGGTTCATCCTCGAGCAGTTGCATAATGTCACCGAGATAGCTCACTACGACGTACTTGAGTTTGCGTAGTGAGAAAGTTGTACCAAAGGTGGTTTTTTTTTCAGGGAAAAGATAGCGTCGCCGCCGTCCTGTTTGTTAGAGATAACCGTGTACTATGTATATTTCTGACGGTTTGAAAGGATTCGCCAGGCTTCTCAGAGGAGTCTAGGCGTGCATTTAAGAGTTAGTTAATTAGTGCCAAGAGGTCTGGCCCTCTTCACGAATCACCGAGATTTTCCATTTTACTTGGCCTTTTTAACTATGATGATCTATAATCTGATTTATATATTTTGTCTTACCTATTGATATACCAGCATACCTAAATCTGTATACCTAGGTACCTACCTATGTAAGTCCACTAGGTTAACCTAGTATGTACATAACATAAGGTTAGCAATATGGATGTTACTAGGTTAGGTTCTTGTACTGCCCCTGATTGTGGCAGTGCTTGATGACTAACCCGATGGATTCGCAACTGCCCGCGTGCTCCGCAATTGGTAACAGCACTAGCCTGGGGCCTGGGAGGGAGAGAGTGATCTTGAATTCAGAACACCGTTGAGACATCAGAATCCCCCAACTACTTTATTTTCGCCTCATGTTTTTATTTTATTTTGATAATCTCTTAATAAATCAGTTCTCCTAGTTTCCCCTCCAATGACCACTGCGGTGGTACTTGGTCCTATGCCTGCCTTATTTTCTTGATTTCAAATTCCTACTCCAATCAATTTCACTCCTTTATCGTGACTCGACTTTAACCACTCGTTTAATCACTGCGACAAGCAATTAAATAAATACCTATCTACGCGTACTCACCGGGCATATCCTATTCTAGAATCCCGACCTTTAAGTCCTATAACCGCGATACATCAATGACGTTGTACTACCAAGATGCCCTCCGAAAAGTCTCAGTATATACCACCACCACCTATACCCACCTACGATGAAGCGACCGGCGGTTATCCTGGATCTTCTCGGCCGGACTGGCCCCCGCCTTCTTCGCCCATAGATACAAGACCCGATCATGAAACCGAAGCGCAATCCCTCCTTTCTTCACGTCCTAGGCAGGCCGACTCGTCGAGGCGTGCGCCTCAAGGGTATCGACCTCCGTATGTAGAATCCGACGACGAAGGGTCGCAATGGACCCTCGACGATGACGAAAGTGAGGATGACCAGGACGCGCAGGTTCGGCGCGAAATGCAGGAGCTGGAAGTTGAGGATCCGTTAGGCGAATCGAGTTCAAGATCTTCTTCTTCTTCATGGAGGAAACGGATAGCATCTTCATTGCCGCAATGGAAGTGGCGATGGCGGCTCCCTAGATTTACTGTTCGATTACCTCGCCAGAGCGATGCCGCAAGTAATGCGGATACGGAATCTACCGAGACGAGGACAAGATTTAGGTTCCCGAGTATTAACAGCGCTGCTGCTATACTTCTGGTCGGTAGGCTGCTTGCGGTTTTCCTCATCCTAGGTTTCCTATACCTCTTATTCATGAGTGACCTCTTCACGAACATGACAAGGCGCATCGGCGGCCACATGTTCGACCCCGAAGCTGTTCGTCAATACGTACAGGGCGAAGTCAACTCGGACATGCTGAGGAACACGTTGAAGCACTTTACGGGCTACGCGCACATCGCGGGGACTGAAGGTGACTACGCGCTTGCGATGGACGTGCGGAATGATTTCATCAAATATGGCCTGGAGGAAGTTACAGTAGACGACTACTATGTATACCTGAATTATCCGAAAGCCGGCGGTAGAGCTGTCGAAATAATGACCGAGGATGGCAAGGAGGCTAAGTGGAAAGCTGCCCTTGAAGAGGAGGAAGTCGTTGAAAAGACGGCGGGCCGCCAGACGTTTGTGTTTCATGGTCATTCTAAAGCAGGTGACGTGAGAGGACCACTAATATACGCCAACTACGGATCGAGAGAGGATTTCAAGAGGCTTTCTGATAAGGGTATTAATACTAAGGACGCAATTGCGCTCGTACGCTATTACGGCACACAGGGTGACCGGGCCCTAAAGGTTAAGGCCGCCGAGATGGCCGGGTTTGCCGGATGCATCATATATAGCGACCCGGCGGAAGATGGCTTCTTAAAAGGAGAACCAGCACCTCTTGGACGATATATGCCCCCGGATGGCGTTCAACGAGGAGCGGTTAGCCTGATGAGTTGGGTGGTGGGAGACGTACTTACACCTGGTTGGGGAAGCAAGAAAGGTCTGCCACGAATGAAGAAGGAGCAGACGGCTGGTCTCGTTAAGATCCCGAGTCTTCCTCTCGCCTGGCGTGATGCCCAGGTGCTTCTACAACATATCCAGGGCTTTGGCGAACCGTGCCCGGACGACTGGCGGGGTGGTATACCGGAAGTTGAGTGGTGGACCGGAAACTCCTCGTCGCCGGTTGTGCGATTAAAGAATGAACAGGACGAAGAAGAACAACAGGAGATATGGAATGTCTATGGTAAAATTGTTGGCGTCGAACAGAACGAAAAATCCATCATCATCGGTAATCACCGCGATGCCTGGGCTTTTGGTGCAACCGATCCAAATTCGGGCACGGCTGTTATGCTAGAAGTTGCGCGCATCTTTGGCGATCTTCTAGCTAGGGGCTGGCGACCGCTTCGTACGATTGAGTTTATGAGTTGGGATGCTGAGGAGTATAACCTGATCGGCAGCACAGAGTTTGTTGAACAGAACATGGAGATTCTCCAGAGGAATGCCTTCGCATATATCAACCTTGACACTGCAGTTTCGGGCCAGGAGTTCCATGCCGCCGCATCTCCGATGTTCCGCAAAGTTCTCTATAAGGTGATCGACAGAGTCTTCGACCCCATCCTAAATGCTACGCTTCGCACGTTGTGGGATGAACGCAATGGGGAGCTTGAAGGGCTTGGTGCTGGCAGTGACTACGTGGCATTCCAGGATATGGCGGGTACTAGCTCTATCGATATTCGATTCGATGGGGCTGCCCATCCTTACCATTCTTCGTACGATAACTTCGACTGGATGGACCGTGTCGGAGATCAAGGGTTCATATACCACAACCTGCTTAGCCAAGTTCTCGGGCTTCTTATCCTAGAACTATCCGACAAGCCTATATTGCCCTTTGATATGGGTAATTATGCGCTCGCTCTCGGCCGATATCTTGGCGCTCTATGGCAATGGGCCGAAGATAAGGGTGTTAATGGACACTTCGATCTAGAACCCATCAAGAACGCAGTTCAGGAGGTTGAAACGGCTGTTTCTAAATTCGAGAAATGGGAGACGGACTGGCAACAAAGCGTAGTGGCATCAAACGGCTGGGAGCCAGTAGGGTTAACCCAACGGAGAGGTGATTACAATAGTCGCATGGCGAACTTCGAGACCGGATTACTGGACTTAGAGACCGGTGGTGGAGTAAGTTGGGTTCCCTATATTTATCTTGATCTTATACTAACAGATTGTCGCAGGTTCCAAACCGAACTCAGTTCAAGCACGTTGTCTTTGGTCCACAATTGTGGTCCGGGTATGACGAGGCCTACTTCCCGGCTATTCGGGATGCCATCGACGCGGAAGATTGGCCGTTAGTCCAAAATATTATCGACAAAACTGCTCGTATCATAAGGGATGCCGCTAAAGCGTTAATAGAATAAGAGGCTCGAAACGCTCATATTTTTAGGAGCTTCTTGTAGGTCATGGGTGCATTGTTCGGCGTTAGTGGGAAATTTGGACGGGGATTATTACCATTGTATTATACCTATAGGTGGTTGATTCTTATACATTGACCTAGATTACTTCAGGGTATCATCACATAACTCGAGACTCGGCTGGGAACAAGACTCGAGGATTTCATTAGATAAGATGAATTCGTGGTCTTGGGGAAATAAACAATATTTGAATTAACTTTTACAATTCGTCCAGTACAAGAAGCTGGAAGCTATCATCAGGGGTATAACAGTCCAGAAATCCGACGCAATGAAAACAGTGAACCATCGCCAATACCGAACCTGTTCAACGCCCAAGAGAAATGCGGTAAGCATTATACCGGATAAATTCGTCGTCCGTAATGCTCATTTACTTCTTCTTTAGATAGGGGGTTTGGCGTATAATAGATGAAGCTACACGCGCCCGTGGCGCACTTGTAGAACAGCTTCCGAGGGGTTGTGGCCCTCTCACTCGTGATGTCCTCGCGCGATAGATACCTCCCCTTGGTGCAATTACACCTTAGATTACCTTCATTTACTCCTTGATCGTCAGCCCAGCAGGTGAAGTTGTTGCACTATAACAACAATTAGTCTTCAAGGCCACGAAGTTTCGAGAGCACGGTCGTAGGATTTCAAGGATTCCGACTCTCTGGTGGACGAACAAGAAAACAGAAAGGGTTAGGTAGGTAGGCAGGTAGGTAGGCAGGCGGATAGCTGATTGGAAGGACGCAAAAGTCACGTACCTGTCTGCATACGTAGTAGTATCTTCCCGGGTTGTGGACGCTCTTGGACAGCAGGACGTCGAAGCCGTAATAGCTGCTCTTGCATTGACGGCAGCGCAGAGGATCACGCCCCGGGAAGCTGGGGTGGTAGAGGGGTACGCCGGGAGGCGGAGGGGTTGGGGGCCCAAGGAGGAAGGACCGCTGGAAGGGGATCGGGGCTGCGTCCGGGCCTAGGTCGTAGTGTCGTTGGACGTCGGGTGATATCACGAAGGGATTTTCCTCGCCGCCCGAGTCGGAGTCTTCGTACTTGATGACGGGAGTTGGTGGGCGGTTATCCCAGTCCCCGGGTACTGGGTCGTACTGGATGATGACCGGGGCTGCTTCCATGCGACGCTTCCTGGGCGATCCGCTGTTGTCTTGGTCGTCGTCGTCGTCGTCGTCGTCGTCAGTGTCCAGTGCAGCGATGGTTCTGCTGCGCTTAGGGGTTGTGGGCGGCTGTACAAGGGTGTTGCTGCTACTGGCTTCTGCGACTGTTGTTCCGGATAGATCAGGTACTTCCACTTTAACCTTAGTCGGCGGCAGTAACACTGGTGAAGGGGGGCGGTAAGGCTCCTTGTCGTTAGGTTCCTTGCCTTTGCCTTTGGGCTCCTTAGCCTGTTCTGGAAGCTCCGATACCACTTCCGTCTCACGGACGTGAGGACTGGGTGTCCCTTCTCTTGAGAGACTCAAGGTCCTTGAAGACTCGCGCGTGCCGGCATCATCTTCAGAGACGATTGTGGCGGAGGGCGACAGAGCCGGTTCAGGTGCCACCGACGACTCCTCAGACAGCTCTGTCGACTGGATGACCTTGCATCCCCCCGCCGCGGCACGTCTAGTAGTCGGCGTCCTGAAGAGTTTGCGGATTAGGGACTTAATCTTCTTCATAGTGACGGGTTCGGTTAACAGGTAGGTTAGGTTAGGTACCTAAGTAACTTACATATTAATGGAAGACCCAATAGAAGAGGGACCAGAGTGATCTGGAGGCTAGGAAGATCCGTAGCACTTACGGCCTAGGCTAGTTACAGCTTTAGTTGACTGCTTTGTATTTTCCGCAAGAAGAGGAAGAAAGGAACGATTTCCCCCCGTTTCTTAGGAAGAGCTCTGTTCTAATAGTAATTGGTTGGTTGTTATGCAGTTGTAATTCCCGAGACCGTTGGTGTTTCGAGTTGCCGGCCTGTTGCGAACAGCATCACTTCGACCTTGACATAGCTGCCATGGCGTACTGGGCAGCCCATTAACAAACGGGGGGGGGCAACGGGTTCATACATATTCTACTCATCATTAATGCCCAAGACCCCCTCTTCTTTCCCTTGGGAAGACTGGCTCTTTTCTCCTTACAGATTGCCCATCTGTGTGCCTTGCGCTGACAAGCCACTATCTGCCGCCGCCCTGCAACGCGATCCTTAACTGAACTAGAGCAGGATTCCGCTGCGCTAAGTGCCACATGGTTATTGGCTCTGTTGCGCACCCCCAGAGTTAGAAGCTGGCATAGAACGCCACAGCTGAAAACTGGTCGGCCGGGGTGGGTTTGCTGCGAGCAGCCGGTTGGGCTGGATCTCCGCTCCTACAAGGTTACGACAATGTAGAATATGTTCTAGTAGTCAACCAAATTATATTCCTGGTAAAGAGGACAGATGAGTCTTGGCAGGCTCAATTTAGACACAAGGGTAGAAAGAGGTATTCTCAAATAAGTACATATCTATACAAATCAATGTTAAGTAACTACCTATCTAGCATTAATATAAGACTTGATAGTCACGATCTCGTTGCCATGTCCGCTAGCATACGACGACGCGGTTACTTGCGCTTGTTACTCCGCACTCGGCACATAGGAGCCGGACATATACAGCCACTATATTACGAGGCGCATCTTGTTGGGAATCAGACAGTATTAATATGAGGTCGCCGTACGTATTACGTGTTTCGACTTGTGCGAAGGAGTTGAATTCTGGGGTGTATCTAGGTAGAGAAGTATAGAGAAGTATAGAGAAACATGCCCTACATCTCCAAACAGAGCGCTTGCGCATTCCCTTGCAACGAGTTATGAGCTAGTTTCCTGCACGCAGATATCACGATACCCGGGACCATCCGTTGATTTCTACAGGTAGTTAAATATATTCTCAAGTAGTGTAAAGGTCTGACCTATTAACTGAGTTCCCACTAGGTTAGGTAGATTCTTGTCTTGCTGCTATGGGTCCGAGTGTCGAGCTGAAAACGCTATAAAGTCTTAGCCCCCGATCGCATTATATGCTGTAGGGTTCTCTCGGGACAAAAAGACGGATGACTCGGAAAGTTTTGTATTTTTATTATGGAATACTATCTGGGGGATTCCTTATAGCAACGCCTTTAGTGTTGACGCAGGTGGTTTTGTTTAGTCTTAATTGTTCAAACTTTATATGAATTTATTAGATTTTTTTCAGGTACTTAATGATATAATGCTAGGTTAGTCTATTTAGGCGGCTGGGTGATTTGGTATTCGAAGTCGTTCTCGTTCTCTTACGTCTCTTCGGCCGAGTCGTAGTGTGCTCTGTAGAAGTAATGCGTGGCTGGCCAGATACCATGCTCATGTTTCTCTTCTGAATAGTTTCTCTTCTCGTTTGGGACCTTTAGTTTTGGATATTTCTTATTATTCCACATAATAAAGCAAACATTGAAAATGGAGAAGTATTGTAGTATAGAATAGTTTATCTGTTAGTATGTACGACCGTAGGTTCCCGTAGCTGGTTTGGAGTTCCTCGTAAAACAACGAAGTTGTTTCCTAGCTTCTTGGTTTACTTCGTAATATTAGCTATATAAACTTGAATTACTGATTAAATTACTGATTAGGAATTCTATAAACTTACTTCGTCGGTGCTTGAACTAACGGAGCTGCTGGTTAAAGGTTGGCTCTAATCTATATCAAGTTTAACTACTTGCATGTAGCTACATAGGTATGCGAGTCTTAATGTATTATAGAAACTGTACCTAAGTTAAGTTGTATATTTTGTAAGCAGAAACTGATAATGTTCCATAAAGCTTTAATTATTAATCAGCTTCCATCTTTAGATTTATGATATGTATATGTTGTTAGTAAGAATAGTTGGATATGCTTAGTAAAGTGTTAGTTATAGTTTTTTCTTTCTTGTTAATAACTATTACTTATACCGGTATTAGTTTAGAATATTCGTATGCAGGTTTTTATTCCACTTTACCTAGTAGAACTTGAACTTGAAAAATTAATACTTAAATCTCCCCTTGGAACAAGCAACCTTGGTAACTTATTATCATAGACCTTGCATTACTCACGGTAGGTACTCGGGGTTACTTAGTCAACGTAACCCCATTTAATAAACTCTCCTGAGTTAAATAGCCAGTTATCATATTCTTTCAACTCCTAGTCAATGTCAGTGCTTTTATATGCCCAGCTAGTCAAGCCTCGGTACGATATCACTCCAGATTCCTCAACGTGATATTTCTTAGATTAAGACATCTCTTCGTAAGATAAGTTAAAGATATGTCATTGAAGGTGGTTAATGGTATCGTGGAGTTTGTTTCATGATGCAAGCTTTCTTCGGCTCCCACCTAACACAACATCAAGACCGCCATTTGCCCATGATGTAGACTCACGGCATAGTGCTACTACCTAGAGTGCTGAAGGATTTCCGTTACCATAGTCAGTCAGAGAAAACGAAGATGAAGTCTAGTATGTTCCTTATGTTCCTTGGTGGAGCTTGAGCAAGGTTATGGGATTGCGTCTTCTCCTAGACGCATGAAAGAGTGGAAACTCAGGAGAAGTAAAGATAACAATAACAGGTAACTAACCTAGCATTTTCATTACTGCATTGCCGAAAGCTCCGCTTAAACCTCCTGAAAGCTCACTGTCCAGTAAGATAGGTAGATAGGACGGACGTACTCTGAGACTTATGCGAGACCTAGATATTCGTTGGCTATGTCTGTAGTTCCTTAACTCCTACATAGGTAAAGCAGCTATCCCCGATTTTTGTAACAAATACATCCCTTATCGAACGAAGCCTTAGACAAAAGCTAAACATTAATGTGGGGATTCGAGGCGGTCTACATATGATCGTGGTATGATCAAAAAGAGAACCGTGCCAGTTTGTATCGTTCTCTGGATGTAATTATTGCGGTCCCTCTCGAAGGGTTTACACATGTAAGACCCAACTTCATGCACGAAACAAAGGATCCCGAACACATCTTTATCAGATGCTAGGGTCTTCCTCCAAGCTTTGCTTTTCCTAAGCTCGGAAATAAAAAGAGCGATTGGCTCGATGACTGACGTCTACGGCGATACGGAGGACCTTGTTGGCCCGGGCAATTGAGAACCCGGCTGGTCATTCGATGCTTGATAAGAGGTTGGCCCTTAACACATGCAATATTGATGCTATTATTAACTTCGTCTTCCTTTTTTCCGTACATGTTGTTGCTTTACTATGCCTTGAATATATAAATATTCCACTACCGGACCGGATTGCCAAGATAGATCGCACATTGAGTTCAGTTCTTAATGAGCAGTGGAGGAGATCGAAGACGACGAGAAGCAATGGAGGTCTCACCGTTGATGCGCGTTCCGGCAGAGGTACGGCTCATGATACTTGAATACCTATTCGACGATGGCGGACATAAGCAATTGCAAATTCGGAACGCAGGAGTTGAAAAGTTACCGAAGACGGAAGACAGACGGCGAAGGAGGTATTACACCTTGGAACGGACGTTCCATCGCCGCTGTTACGAGACGACCTACCAGCTCGAAACTGAGGGCGTCAACTTCTGTGTATCTGCCATGAGAACCAACAAGACGATATACGAAGAAACGTCATACTTAGTCTACGGTAGACATACATTCGACTTCGGGGATGCAATCGAAGCGGTCGAGCCCTTCCTCTCGGATCTGACACCCCAGAGCCGCGGGCTTATCCGAGAGATATCCTTGTATAAGCGGGGGCCCGTGCCACCTTACGACAACGACAGGGGCGAATGGCAAAGCGTGTGCCGGTTCCTAGAAAATAACGGGTCCGTTAGAAAGCTGCGGTTGGTGGTGCAGAGTGGCCGTCCCAATGCGACGTGGGAAGGGCCGAAAGAATTCACCGCGGCAGACTTAAAGCTTCTTTTCGACCTCAAGCACGAGAGCTTAGACTGGGTCGGGGACCTCGCCCGCATCAAGGGCATCGAAGAGTTAGAGATCCTACCAGACGTCCAGTACTGCCCTCCACCATTGTCTACCAATATGATCATTTTCGCAGCCCTCTCTGCTTCTATTGAGAGGGGTCTAACGGAGTTCCTCAGAACACAGCTATGCTTACCTCTGTGATGTATAATGTTCATGTAAGAGTTCACGTTATTGATAGTTATATGGGATAGAAAGATTTAGTTGTTGGACATGGGCTATATGGATTAGTTGGATAGAAAATAACTCTGGTCTACATATGTAACGATAACTACCTCTTAATACAAGACAATAGCTACATAGATTAGACTCTAGGCCTATCGCCTTATTCAAGTAACTCGATATCAACATTCGGCCCCTTTTCTTACATATTATTGACTACATAACATCAGCCCACCCAATAATCTCTTCCCTGAACGTGACTACTTTAGATATACAGTGCATGCAGTTGTTTAATCGTGCCTTGTACCTAAGTAACTGATGATACTGATACTTAGAATGCTGTTAATAGATAAATATGTAATTATAGGGCTTAGGTATTCTGAAGTCTATGATAAATAACTATAAGTATCAATAAAAACATTAATTATCAGCGGATACCAGAATAAAGATTACGCAACATAAAATCAGTATTCATAAATTTTTGAAGCTTCATAAAGAGACTACCTCGGTAGTTGTACATGCAGTGAGAATATGAGAAGATAGAGTCTCCAGACACACTTATAAGTAAACGAGAATTTCAAGGAAGGGTTTAAAATATTAGCCACTAACCTAGGTCAACGTTAATAATTCCCAAGAAATGGAAAATGGGAAGATAATAAAAAGTTCAATGCCCTCAGATAAATACTGTCTTCCATAGCAGTTTCCCGCTCAGATAAGCCAATGCATGTTATTTGTTTTATCATCGTCATCGGGCAGATCAGCTTGACATAAACTAACCAACTTCAATTCGTAATCTTTAGGGGAAAAGTCTGATACTGGAACAATTCGACCACTTGGTTGCCTATGGCACACATAATATTGCATCTTACCTTCTTTAAACACGGTCGGTAGTACAGCCTCAACCCAGTCCATTGGCTTTCTCCTGCCTAGGTGCTTAAGGCAAGTATGGCATGAATGTGCTCACGTGAGCTAGAAAAGGGGCTATTCGATGGTTAACCTCCCTCATAGCGGAGGGCCAACTGTACTAACGATCTAGGAGTGAAAAGTCGTAGATTAAGCGATGAAGAGGGGAAATTTTAACAGATTATGAGGCCAAGCAGCCACGTTATAAGTACACGAAATTTCGATTAGTAAGTTGCAGATCAATTCTAGAAAGCCAATCCCGCAACAACATCCTAGTATCAGTTACCAAATAGATATCGAGACATGAAGTCAGGGCCATCTTGATGGCTGGTTTTCGTCTGAAGCTAAAGCATGCAAGCCAACGAAAATGAAAATAAGGGGTTGGAGGAATATAGCATCTTGCACGATTTAACGTATATCGATTGGAAGTATAATTCACACTTCTTCGATGATATATCTCTATATTAGTGGTACTAACAATTAAACCCTACTACGCATTTATGGACGATGGAAGTCCATATCGAGTAGCAGATACAATCCATTTTCTCCAAATTACAATCTCCTCTGTAGATGAAAGATATGCATGAGGTTGTCAGATTGGCAACTCCATAACTAGGCGTATTTATAGTTATTGTATGGCGAATACTTGGTGATATGATCTATGTTCAAGATATAAAGTAAAATCATGACCAAGATAATAATCGTGACCACAAGACCACATTCCCTTGTCGTCAGTCCCAATATTGATAATAGTGACGATAATTGTCCGTCGGACACGGCAGTATTAGTGCTTGTTACGATTATCTATCCACATCATCTGTGCTGCTGCTATATGAGCTTGCTTGCCCAGGAAATCACTAGTCAATTGCGTCGTTTGAGGATGTTTTGTTTCGCGCGCATGATAGCCCCAGTTGGTTGCAGCATAAGTCAGGAAGGGATATTCATGCCGACGTTCGTCGACTAGATCCTTGTGATCAGATCCCGCGCAGGCGCTAGATGAAAATGTCTTTGACGTTGGAAGCAACCTCCTATATAAAAGTATAGCTTGGGGGCGTAAGCCGAAACAGGTAGTGACAGACCTACACAGCACCTACAGTAACATTGATATACTACCTGACATTCCCGATGGAGATGGAGATGAAGGAAATCGAAACACAGCCACCCAACAGTTATCCAGCTATCTATTTATATAAGTACCTACCTAACCTACATGTAGTAGCACCCCTCGGTATTCTTAACAAGTCTTTTAGCAGTAGCAGGTACAGTAGCAGGTATGTAGCAAGCTGCGATGTTACGGATTACGATTTAGTTACTTGTGATTAATCTTATTAATCAGCTATATTGAGAGTAAGTGCTTAAAAAGGGGCCAAGTTCAACTAGTTATTCCTTATAAGTATAATCACTTCTTAGTATCATCAGCAAGTAAGCATCTTGAGTCAATAGCAACTAAAGCGAAGACTATGGTAACCTAGTAAAATCAACGATGCTCCTGATATTCCGAAATTTTACGGTATGACGGCCTTTATGTATGTGAGTGAATATCCCTTTCCAGATTGGTATAGTGTTGAGATTGAATTTTGAATTTCTGACCAAATATCATCACAAGTAGAAAGACGTCAGCATGTAGATCCATGTTAAACTGCGAAAGCTACTCTAGCACTGCGTTTTGGTGGTCGTTCGTGTGCCTCGGGATCACTGCTCTTACTTAATGATTCGCCAGTCGTCGATGTCAGGCCATGCATCCGTTTCAGGCCTTTATTTATCCTGAAAGGTATAGGGGCGGGTATATCTCTTGATGTGGTGGCGTCCAACCTTGCTTTAGCGTCCGGACTACCTGTGATCAATCCCTCATCAGGGTGAAGCTCGCGGCCGGATCCTCTACCAAAGACATATTGCGGAGTTTCCAACATCGCAGTTTGGGCAACACCATCTTCTTCGTCAGGCAAAGGTATTATCTTCGCATTCAGTATCCATCGGTATATGAGTCTGTCATCCAAGATCGACTTGACTTTGCTATGTTCAGCATATGTCATCTCCTTTCGGCGATTGACAATGACCTCCTCAATGCTATTTCGTAAAACAAGAGTCTCGACAGACACCGGCTTCTGCTGGCTGATCCGTCGCGCTCTTCCGATAGCCTGCGCCTCGACCTGAGGATTCAATACTGGGCTGATGAAGTAGATTCGCGACGCAGAGCGCATGTCGAGACCGAATGCTGCTTGGCTTATATCCATCAGAAGAACCCGAAACTTCGGATTGTGTGTGAAAGTAGCAACATATTGTGCACGCCTGTCTGCACTAAGACCGGCCCTTGCATATATTAAATGTTGAATTTGTAGCTATAATTCAAGTAAGTAGATATACTAATAAGCGGATGGGGAAGTAATCTCTCACAATTTCTAGCATCCCAGCCAGGTAATATGCGATATTTTCGTTGTCATAGAAAACGATGATCTGCTCTTCATCTTGGTACTTCACGATAGAATCAATGAGGTAGGATAGCTTGGCCGAAACTGTCGAGATAATTCTAGTCTTCGCTAAAGGCTCCGCGACCTTGACATGACCCCCTGGTTCTGTTCCAATTCCTTGCGCGCTCTCGATAAGCGGCTGTGATGCGTTCCCTAATATACCCGATTTCGGTATCGCATGATAATCACCCCCAAGAGCGGTGTTTCCCGCTAAGGCTGAAGCCTGGCTTGGTTGTGTTGCGACGTAACCGGAGGCATCCATTGCTGCCATTAAGGCCTGAGAGCGCTCGGCCGCACCTTGTTGATCAAGACGACCGCTTTCTATCATAAGCTGCAGAGATGTTGGGGCGTCAATGCAGGGATTCAAGAACCTCTGCAGTGCGTGTACCATCCCAGCATCAGTACAAATTGGCTGACCACCGGTGTCCGAGTCATCAAGCGACCAGTTCTTTCCGCCACCCCCAGGAAAATTGTCGATATACAACGGCATGGCGTGAAATGTGTTGCTTACATCTTTTAACCGGTTGTTCACTGCGATTTTACCGAAGTCGATTGCCTGTTTTAGCAAGTCCTCGTCTTCGTCACTGATAGGAATGTCCTTCTTCTCAAGAAAGCCTTCTGCGGTCTCCAATGCTTTCGCGATATCTTCAGTTGAGTAAAATACGCCGCCAAAAAAGCAGGCTTGCCTTAAGTTCCTAACGAGTTGAGCAAGACTCTTACGCTGCCTCTCGTGGAAGAAGTAATCCATATCTGTCCGCTGCGACTGTACTGAGTTGAAAATGATCATCATCGAAAAGAGATTTAGAGACAGCTTATCCTGGAACGAGCCATCGAGTAGCACAATCTTTTCTTTTACTGGGGGGAGTAGCGTGCTGATATCCGAAAGCTGATGACGAATGATTAGCGAATTGAGAGCCGTCCTTAAACAATCTTTGCGATTATGACCCTTGGCGTGCTGCTCTGGATGCATCACATACGTGTTCCAATCCGCTACACTATCGCCAGCCTCGTCCTTCGTGTTTGCCCACGGGCGAACCTTAAGGTACTTTGCCGCAAGGTTACCAATTCTCTGCAGATCCTCCCTTTCTTGTCGTAAGGTGGACTGCATCCTCCCCTTTGTGCCCTCGTTGTTACTGTTATCTTTCGTCTCGGAAGACTGCTGTTCAACACCATAGAGACCCCTCGAAGGGGTTCCTGTAACAACCCATCGGGCAGCAATCTCAAGACGGTCAAGGACTCTCATAACATCACTCTTCCAGCTCCGACTCTTATTGCCCAACTTGTGGCCTTCGTCAATGATACATCGTTTAAACCGAATGTACTCGAGCGGACAGTAAATATCTGAAGTTGGCCCCTCCTTATTTGATCGCTCCCTCTGGATCCACTCGAAGCGACTCTCGGAAAAGAGGATCAAGTCGTAACTTAACAAGGCAGTCACCGGTGGAATAGCTTGCTTCTCTACGAGCACAAGTGTGTTTAAACCGGCTGTATGCTTCTTCGTCTCATTCTGCCATTGCTTAACAAGATTGTTAGGGACAATAACGAGCGTGGCATGGCTCAGATAGACTTCTTTAGGTGGCACAATTCGAGGCGTGGTTCTGTTACTTCTTCTTGGTTCTACTAAGGTGTTCTGTACCTTATATAATGCACGATTTTCCAGCCGGGTCAAGGCGTCTATGCAGTTCTGGTATTCGTAGCCGAATTGAGCAGCGGATGCCTCGAAATAGGGCTTCCATGCTATGGAATTCTTGTTTGCAGTAGCTGCAGCCATGTCAAGCAAACTTGCACTTTTTAATCTGGGCGGGACTTCAGCCACGAAGGGTTC